AGTCATTCACATACAAGCCAATATTCAACAAAGTCATTCACATACAAGCCAATAGTCAACAAGGTTATTCACATCCAGGAAAAGATTCAACAAAATGTTTCACCTAAACCTATATTCAACAAAGTTGTCCACTTAGAAGCCAAAGTGATTCAGGTCCATGGAAAGATTCAAGAGTTAATCATATAAACTAAAATTCAACAGCATAATTTGTCACGTCCAAGATTCAACACGGTGATTTCGATGTACAAGATGTGCATTATAGATTTGTGAAAGCTTACCAAGAGTCAATATTCAACTAAGTGATCAATGTACAAGATTTACAGTATTCAAGATTCAATAACTGTATGCAGCTCTGGAAGAGAATTGAAATTCTAAACAGTCAAGAGGTGAAGAAATGCTGGATAGGGCACACACTTGAAATCCGATACTATAGCTAGAATAACACAGCACTAGAGCCCACATGGTCAAAGGAATAAAGGCAGACCAAAAAACAATGGAGATAGGAATGAGAGAAGTGAAAAAGATGGTGATGATATAGGGTGAGCTCCATACACTGAAGATCTTGCTCTTTCACAATGACCCACGTTTCTGATGTTTGATCACTACATATTTTATGTGGCATACTCCAGCATATGCCAGAATTTCTCCCTGTCAACCAATCTCCAGTAAATCTTTCTGGTGGCAATAAATTTCTGCAGACCTTTTTATTAGCTTTGTTTTTAAAATTTATATTTCATTTAGGGTATTACCTGTCAGCATTCAAACATTTTAATACTAGGCAGTGATGCAGGGTGGCCAGGAGTTTTTCGCCTCTCCTTCCTAACATTCTTGAAACACACTCACCTCTTGTGTCTATTGAATACTTTATATTCATTTTTGCAATTCACGAAATAGTCTTATCAAGAAATCAGGCATGTTTTAAATTGATAAATTTACTACACAGATAACTATTGGAGAAATAATTTTTGGACATCCTGCCATACAAAAATTACAAATACCTGGCAAAGACATACATGTTACCCAAAAAGATACATGAATGCTTCCACACATAGATTAACATGACTGGCACTTTTTGAATTATACATTTTAAATATGGCAGAGACAAACAGGCACTTGCTTGGATGAACACAACACACCTGCCTAGCACCAAAGACGGGTTCGATACGTTCCTCGTTGGGATTTTCAGACATACAAGGTAAATCAAAACAGTTATATTTATGCAGAAATATACAAGATGGCAAGTCCTTTTCTTATGCACTGTAGAAGCATATATTTAAGTACATTTGTAGATAATGACCTGAAATTTGGTACACTGGGGCAACAAACACCGCTCTTGACAAACAGAAGTACAGCTTTGTACAATAGAAATCTAGTATTTGTCTGGCCTACTTTGTGCTCTAATAAATGGACCCTTACTAGAATTGATGAGTACAGAATCATAACAACAGAGAAATGTCTTCCAAGAGCTTCTAAAGTAACATTTAAAAAAATCTTTAAAAAAAAATTGAAGACAGATGGTGAGAATGCCTTGGTACCAACGGCCCCATTGGAAAACAAAAATAAACGGAGCAAAGGGAACTATGCAAAAGCTGGAACAACAAACAGCATCAAGAATAGCCTTAAAGAAATGAATTTTTACAACATTTGAAACACAAAAACACAGACATCTTCCCATAATACTCTAATGCGGAAAGTGAAGGAAGACTCGCAGTAGTAGACAATGGCTGGACTGTAGGCCTAGACTTGTTACCGAAACATTTGGTATTTATCATGGAGTAGGAGTTATGGCTAGGCGACCAATTCTTCCTTCTTGTGGAGGATCGGGGATTGCACCGACTGTAACTTTTGCCACTTACTGGAACAGATGATCAACTCTTCTTTCTTGTGGGGGATCAAGGATTGCACCAACGACTACAACTTCTGCTACTTACTGTAACAGGTGATCAACCCTTACTTCTTGTGGGGGATCGGGGATTACACCAACGACTACAACTTCTGCTACTTACTGTAACAGGTGATCAACCCTTACTTCTTGTGGGGGATCGGGGATTGCACCAACGACTATAACTTCTGCTACTTACTGGAACAGATGATCAACTCTTCCTTCTTGTGGGGGATTGGGGATTGCACCAACAACTATAACTTCTGCTACTTACTAGAACAGGTAACAACACTGTATCACTAAAATCTACTACTACATGAAATAGGGAAATCCCCCCCCCCTTCCCCCCTCCCTACCACCATGTAACTAAGATTTGCTACTGATCGGGATAGAGGCAAACTCCTAAAGTAACCTTGTAGAGCCCCTGTGAGGGCTACACCAACGAGGTGTATCCTGTGTGGAAAATGACTGGTTGCTCAGTCACTGTTCTTTTCAAGACTGCTGTTTGTAGGATTACAACATAAGGATGAAAAACAAATGGGTGTAAATTGCAGAAACCCTGTTCAGTGGTATAAATGTTATATCAATGTACCCCTGTGGTTCTAAAATAACTTGCAGTCCAGTGTTAGGATGGGACTGCTGACAGCAATGAACGATGAATAACCCTACAAGACAGTTCTTTTACTGGATTTATGAAAATAAGCAAGTACATGAAGTAGCGACTACAGTTTCGGAAATTTGCGATCTTTTCGACAATTTCCGTTACCATGGAAACCGTTTGAAACTTGTTTCGGAAATGTGGGCTGGGGTTTCAGGATGGGTCCCAATCTCTCATGAAATTTTGCGATTGGTGTGATTTTCACCCACTCTAAATGGCTGAAAACAGCGGGAAGGAACCCGATTAACAGCGCATGTCTACGACAGCCGGACGTCCTCTGTTTTTCTGTTACATCCGTTTGATTGAAAATAGCGGTAAGTATTCAAAGTTGGCTTTAGACCTTAAACATTACCAGATGTGGTAATGCTAGTTATAATTGAATTCTCCGTCTAATTTTACATTTGTATATAAAATGTCTTTCTTGTCTGTGGCTGTTTAGATTTAGTGACATTTTTCATGCAATCGCTATGTGTCTCATTCGTCATTAGCTGCCATCTTGTCCAATGACAGTCCAATGTCAACAAAGCCAAAACAAAAGTTGCGCAGTTTTTGGTTGCGCAGAGAAAACCTCTTGTTTCTGGGAGACAAGTTTTAGCAGCTGCTTTCTACATCTCATCTCCACAAAAACCTACATATCTCAGCTCAGAAATGACATACAAGCCTAAATGAGGTACCGTTGGAAAGAGATTGTTTACAGCTATCTAACTGTGCTGGTTTTATTGGTGTAGAGGGCATTCTAAAAATTTGACTAAAGTATCTACATGAAGCCATCAGGCTATATAACAAAACAAAAAGCAGACCACAATAAAATATGTGAAATTAATGGAACAATTTTATGTGTCAATATTTTTGTTTTAACATTTAAAGGCATTTAAATTACCAGGCATCTCAATAAAATCTGTTGTCAAAGATAAAATATATTAAATTATAAAAATATATTAAACTATAACAAAATAATTAAGGGACTTAACTCTGATAAATCAGAAAAAAAAAAAAAAAAACACTGCCTTTTCAGTGTAACTATGTTACATATAAACAACTATTGAATATTTAAAAGGACTGCACTTTTTTCTATTTCAGCATACCAAAGACATGTTTGCTACAAGTGACTAAATGTTTTATCACTGCCCAGATAAACTTGTCAGTCCCAGGCAGATCTTCATTCAATACTATCCATCCATGTACCTCAGAGCAACAAGTGTAAAGTCTTATAAAACTGAACAATACAACTTTGGGACAGAGGGAGTTATGTCAACAACTGACAATAGGTTAACAAAATGGCACAGAAGGTGAAAAGAAATGTGCATCTTAATGTGCATCTTACAACGAGTAAACAATGTATGTACTGTGACTTCTCTGGCACTGCAAGAGTTAAGCAGCATCAGGTTTTGTGAACACAGACATTAAAACATGCTGCAGGGCTTCAAGAATTCTAGACCAACATCTGACATTTTTCTGGCCGACTGCTATCAAAGTCAAGCATTTGGTCTCCATCTTGTTCAAGCCGTGAAACTGACTCAGAAAATCCCCAGTTTAAGTGTTCGTCTGTCAAGGGGCGCTGCAGAACTCACCCAGGCATATGTGTTTTTTTTTGGCCAGTTTGTAATTTCACCTGGCAATTTTATGTCCAATATTTTGAAACTGCTTGCTAAATTAACGGTCACCTCTCGATACAACTGTTGAAACCAATGCAAGACATCCTGCTGCTAAATATCCACAGCTGAGATAAAATATAATGCCAAGGAATTATGAAGTGCATTCACAATACAAACAGTAAAACTGCCCACTGTTCTCAAGGTCAAAGAATTGGTCTCCATCTTGTTCAAGCTGTGACATTTACTGAGAAAATCAGGAGTGTACCTCCAAAGACTGTGGATCTGGCCCAGGGGATCCACATTGCGAGAGAAGCTATGGGGAACTGGTGGCGACCTTTAACGCACAATCCTATTTTTGACCCAGACGGGACTCAATGTTTAGCATGACTGATGTCAAACGCAGAAGAAGGAGTGTACCTCCATTAAATATATAACATTCTAAAGTCATATTTTTCTGTGCACCCTACGACAGAAGAGACTAAAGGGGAATCATACTGCAAAGTAAGATAACTGTTTACTTTAAAATATATACACAGTTGTAAGAGAGTCTTGAGAACTTCATACTTTCACTCCATATTTCTTGGTTTCCTGTTGACCTTGGTTGTGCAGAAGTTCTGTTTTCTTGTTTGTTGTATTTAGTACTCCGTTGATAAAGACTTTGGTCAGAAGGTTCGGTTGTATTTGTGCGTATTTTACCATTCCTTCTGCTGAGGTCCTGTTCTATGTTGCGTCTAGCACTTCTAGAACTACATGTTCCAAAAACTGCTTAAAAACTGTCATCACATGATTTGAAACAACTAAACATTATGATTTTTAATCAAAAGGTAGACACTTACTATAAAAGCGAGCCTGCAAATTAGGTAAGCTATGATATAACGCAACATTTCTGCTTCTCGTCGCCACCCACCACAGGGGCATTAGATGGTGCCACAAATTTCCGTAACTGACCTTCCCTAAAACTAGAGTGAGGTCCACTTGAAGTAGAGCCTGATCTTGTAAGTGATGCAGAAGTTGTGCTGCTGTTGCTGTTATGTCCATTTTTTGCTTTCTCCATCATCGGTGGCGGGTAAATGTGAAGATGTTGATAAGGAGTAGAATTTGATGTGACTGATGCAGTCGAGTTTCGGTTATTGATTTGAGGAACTGTCTCCAAAAACATCTTTTGAAATTGGGCATCGAGAGTATCTTTAAGAGAATCTCTACGAACATCGCTGCGATGTTTCTTCAGGTCAGTTAAAGTTGAGCCCGATGACCCGGTCAAAAGTGGTCTGTCATCTGCTAACTGGCCTGGTCTATTAACTTTGCCGTCTGGCAGACGGTCTGAATATCGGTGGTCTTTGTTGTTTGTCGATGATGAAAATGGGGGAAGTTGAGGTGACCCAGTGGTCTTTCTGTGGTCATGTTCGTCAAACGTCGTCGACACATCATCAATGTTTGTTGCTGGCATGTTTTCTTTTTCTTCATCCAGAACCTTGGAGGAAAAAACGCCAGCCATTAATTCATTTCTGTAAAGAGTTGCAGGGTTCCTTGACTTACCACCCGGTGTCATTCTGACTTACATATTATAAGTCAAAATGGTCATAAGTCAAACTTGTTGCAAGTCGAATTAATGTTTTTTAACTACTGTTTTCATTTAAACGGGTTACAAACATTGTACTTATACAACAATTGAGTCTACCTAGGCATAAATATGTCTTGGTGTGAGTTGGTTGAGGGCCTATGCTCAACTGGGAGTTAGAAAGGCAGAAGAAGAAGGTATAATTATTTTACATAATGTGAACAATAAATACAATAAAATGTACTTTATTTTACTGCATCTGTTCCAGGAACTTTTTGACCATCCTACTAATGTAGTTACCTTTCTTTACTGTTTTTATTCATGTATTTACATTTTTGTGCTTGTAAGTGCTGAAGGTCGTAGGTCGAGAAGACAGTTGCATATCCTTTACAGGATATTGCAAACCAACTGCTGGCTGGTTGTAGCTTCACTTATCAGTTTTAAAGTTTAGTAGTTTGCCATTGTTATCAGAATAGTTCAATGCTTACACTAATACTGAAATCACCAACAAAGTAAGGAAATGAATTGTTCAAGAGAAACCCTAACATTAACATTGTTACGAAAAACTAAAGGATTCCATCTGTGATATCAAAAGGACTGAATTGAATGCAATGAAGGCATAGAACATCAAGTGATGACAGAAGGATATATAATTTTCTTGGTTTATCTCTTGCTCTGTATTCATTTTTTTTTTTTAATTTAGCTTTCTGGTGTAAAAAAAAAAAAAGGTAAAGTCGGGAGATGTGAGCCAGCATCATTGCACACGGTTATAAACCATAAGTGCTCTGCCACCAGTTCGGACAGCTGATAAGAACTGTCCGCCTGTGTCGCCGTCCGCACTTAACTCTAGCTACAGCTACGTTCCTCCATTTACCCCAGAGTGTCACTCTGGTACCCATTTCCTAGAGGCTGGGTGAACCCCGGGAACCACCTGGTTTTGAACGCCGACCGTGGGCTGCAGCGAGTCGCAGCTGGATTTGAAAGCGAGCCTTTTATCGACTGCTAACGCGGCCCCTTTGTTGGCCCTTTCTGGTGTTATACCAGAACATTCTTGTTACATGACCAAATCAATTCATCTTTGAGATATTAACATAAAGCTTTACAGTTTCTAATTTCTGTAACAAATTCCAGGCCACACAGCGGACATTCCATTTGTATGTGTGCCAAGTGTATTGATTAGGAGTTGCTTTTAGTTTCTAGTTTAATGGTTTTAGTAGTTTTTTGTGTGTTTGGATGCCATTATAAATGGCGGCGTCCGTGGCTAAGGCGTTCTGAGTCCAACTCGTAAGCCAGTACAACGCGATCGAAACCCACTGCAGGCTGCGTGGATTTTTGTCGTGGTATGGGACGTCGCAGGTCGACCCAGCCTAAAATGGGTACCAGGATGGGCTGTCCTGGGAAAGTAATGACAGCCGGCGTAATGCTGACCACATTACCCACAGAGTGCTGATGGTCTGTAAAATATGGGACACTCTGCACATATGCCCGATGCGCCGAAAGGCGTGAAAAGGGATCTTTACTTTTTTTACTTTACTTATTATAAATGGTTTAATGATTCTATTAACATCACATATCATGTTGATCATCTTCACATGTTTAGGTCCCTGATTTTGGTATGCTTGGGTCTCCTCACTGCCTGTCCCATCTCATGATCTGGGATGTGGTTGTGTTAAGTGGGGGTCGATATTTTGTGTCTGACTGGTTTTGTTGCTAAACTAGCAAGTCCTGTCATCTATCTGCAGGGTTGGTTAGTTGTGTATCCTTTACAGGACATTGCAGAACCAACCCCAGTAGCCCCTGGCTGTTGTGTGGTTTCTCTAGGCAAATTTATGCCCAGTAGTTTGCCATTTCTTTCTGGATGGTCGGCCCCCTGATACCACTTTCAAAACCAACGCAAAGCGCATGGCCAGAAGCTGGGATCGAACCCGGCACCCTGATCTGTAGGGTAGCACCTCTATATTTAATGTCCAGGTAAGAAACCCTGCAGGTGTGTCCCTTTGCTCCTGTTTTAGAGTCCTGGGCCAGGATGTTTTTACTCAGGCTTCATGCTGACTGCCCAACATCCCATGCAAGAACCAAGGCTTTACAGAAAATGACAGCACACAGCAACAAAATCTTGGAGCAAACAAAAAATGCATGATCAGGAAGGGAAAAACCCAGCTCAGATCATGGCTGTCACTGGAATTCACTGGAACACTTTCCAATCCAGGATACAATACTGACGACCCAAGCAACCTCCTCAGAAAAGAAACAGTGCCAAATGTACAAAAAATTGTGTGGATGTCATGTTCTCTACATGCAGTGGAGATGCCAGATCTGGGGGGTTAGCATTCCCATGGAAACCAATTGGAGGACATGAATCACACCACAACCCTCATAGAGGCAAGTGGCCTTTTCTGAAAATCACTGGCAGGGAGAAAAAATTTTGAATGTTGAATCAAGAATCAATATCAGAACACTCTGGACACTCCCATAAACACTCTGCCCCGATCTTCGGCAGCAAGCGAAGAGTTCCAATTCCGACAGAACCAGGAACTGATTGTACATCTGTCTCGCCTTTAACTTAAGTGTTCAGCATTGGCCAGATCCTCTGGTAACTTCCAGCAACGCCATTCTCCTCAGACCGTATTGGTCTATTTGTGCCTCTGCACTGTTCACTCGCTTATCATAGTTCATCATAGAGAGGAAGACAAGTACCTAATTTGATTAGTGACTTAAAGATTAAGACTGCAAGATGATTTACCCCGAGATCTTCGTCATCTTGCATCAGTCGCATCCCAAAGTGCATAGCTTCCTCTTGAGCCTCTTTCTTGAATAAACTGCTTTTTTCACCCCGCAAGGAACTCCGCCGTATTGATGTACTGAAAAAATACGAACATTCAAAGTTAGGAAATCTGACATGACTATCAATAGTCATTCAATTATATTAACCATGTTGGTTCCAGGGCCCCATGATGACAGGGAAAAAAGTGACCAACTGCTCCCCTGAAAGGCATGTTGTAAAAGTTGACTTTTAGGGGCTATTTTCTTTGAAGTATGAGTGCATCTGCTTGAGAGGCAACCAACCAACAGTCTGCATACAACTAAACAAATTCTGGAACAAGACCAAAGTCCAGAAGTGGACAAACAACCAAAACTTTCCATGGAATAAATAATTTTTTTTTCTTCAAAAGTTATGTCCACTGGTGAAGGTGATAAAGACTTTTCCAAACTGCTCATATCTATTGCTGACTTTTGTATTCTGCTACATACAATTATTTATATAATTTGCATACTGAAATTTTTACTCGTCACCCGAAAACTCCAACCGCCTAGTTCAGCCTCCTCATGTCTCTGCACTAGAGTGGTTCTTCTTCACACTCACCAGCTGTAAGGTTGGTTACAAATCCTGGTTGTTTGTCCACTTCTGGACTTTGGTTGTGTTCCGGATGACCGGTATAAAAGTAGATAGGGCGTGACTAGTCTGATAGCTGGTGCACCACCTGGCATAACTCTGCTGCTCTATATCCAGTGTAGTGGTTTAAAAAGCTTCTTTGTTTGTGTACAAGTGTCCCTACGCTACAAATTTACATTTATAGCTGAAGCAACAAACTGCAAGCACTGTACTTGATCCCCTCTTTAGCAATATCATCAGGGATGTCCTTCTACAGCTGCAGCACCACCATCAGACCTTCTATTGCACTCTAAAAGGGAATGGAGCAAGTGTAGGAACTGCTAGGGAATTGTGTAGCTGAAGTTTGACAACATGAGGTACCTGATCACATGGCAACACTCCATAAAGCCTATTATGACATGCTTAAAAGTAAATTCCAAAAATTCATGTTTAAATAAGTTAACATACATTGTTCATTCACTGCAGATACATTAAAAACATGGTGGTGGTGAAAAACAAGCCCTGATTCCAGTCAGAAGTTCACTGTTTCTATAAGGCTGGTTTGTAGAAGGGTTGCCTTTATGGTTGGCTGAATTATTGCTGTTAGCTTGAGTGTTGCTTTGTCAGATGGGAGGGTTGCTTTGTCAGATGGGAGGGTTGCTTTGTCAGATGGGAGGGTTGCTTTGTCAGATGGGAGGGTTGCTTTGTCAGATGGGAGGGTTGCTTTGTCAGATGGGAGTGTTGCTTTGTCAGATGGGAGGGTTGTTTTGTCAGATGGGAGGGTTGCTTTGTCAGATGGGAGGGTTGCTTTGTCAGATGGGAGTGTTGCTTTGTCAGATGGGAGTGTTGCTTTGTCAGATGGGAGGGTTGCTTTGTCAGATGGGAGGGTTGCTTTGTCAGATGGAAGTGTTGCTTTGTCAGATGGAGTGTTGCTTTGTCAGATGGGAGTGTTGCTTTGTCAGACTGGAGGGTTGCTTTGTCAGATTGGAGGGTTGCTTTGTCAGATTGGAGGGTTGTTTTGTCAGATGGGAGGGTTGCTTTGTCAGACTGGAGGGTTGCTTTGTCAGATGGGAGGGTTGTTTTGTCAGATGGGAGGGTTGCTTTGTCAGATGGGAGGGTTGCTTTGTCAGATGGGAGTGTTGCTTTGTCAGATGGGAGTGTTGCTTTGTCAGATGGGAGTGTTGCTTTGTCAGACTGGAGGGTTGCTTTGTCAGATTGGAGGGTTGCTTTGTCAGATTGGAGGGTTGTTTTGTCAGATGGGAGGGTTGCTTTGTCAGACTGGAGGGTTGCTTTGTCAAATGGGAGGGTTGTTTTGTCAGATGGGAGGGTTGCTTTGTCAGATGGGAGGGTTGCTTTGTCAGATGGGAGTGTTGCTTTGTCAGATGGGAGTGTTGCTTTGTCAGATGGGAGTGTTGCTTTGTCAGACTGGAGGGTTGCTTTGTCAGATTGGAGGGTTGCTTTGTCAGATTGGAGGGTTGCTTTGTCAGATTGGAGGGTTGCTTTGTCAGATTGGAGGCTTGCTTTGTCAGATGGGAGTGTTGCTTTGTCAGATGGGAGGGTTGCTTTGTCAGACTGGAGGGTTGCTTTGTCAGACTGGAGGGTTGCTTTGTCAGATTGGAGGGTTGTTTTGTCAGATGGGAGGGTTGCTTTGTCAGACTGGAGGGTTGCTTTGTCAGACTGGAGGGTTGCTTTGTCAGATTGGAGGGTTGCTTTGTCAGATGGGAGGGTTGCTTTGTCAGACGGGAGGGTTGCTTTGTCAGATGGGAGGGTTGCTTTGTCAGATGGGAGGGTTGCTTTGTCAGATGGGAGTGTTGCTTTGTCAGATGGGAGTGTTGCTTTGTCAGATGGGAGTTTTGCTTTGTCAGATGGGAGGGTTGCTTTGTCAGATGGGAGGGTTGATTTGTCAGATGGGAGTTTTGCTTTGTCAGATGGGAGGGTTGCTTTGTCAGATGGGAGTGTTGCTTTGTCAGATGGGAGTGTTGCTTTGTCAGATGGGAGTTTTGCTTTGTCAGATGGGAGGGTTGCTTTGTCAGATGGGAGGGTTGCTTTGTCAGATGGGAGGGTTGATTTGTCAGATGGGAGTTTTGCTTTGTCAGATGGGAGTTTTGCTTTGTCAGATGGGAGTTTTGCTTTGTCAGATGGGAGTGTTGCTTTGTTGGAAGAAAGGTTTGCTATGTTGGTTGGAGAGCTACTTTGTCAAAAGTTGAGGGCCGCTCTGTCAGAAGTCAAGGACCACTAGGTCAAAAGTCGAGGGCCGCTCTGCCAGAAGTCAAGGACCACTAGGTCAAAGGTCAAGGGCCGCTCTGTCAGAAGTCAAGGACCACTAAGTCAGAAGTCAAGAGCTGCTCTGTCAGAATTCAAGGGCCACTCTGTTTTCCCTCAAGTGCCACTCAGTAGTAATACAGTCCTGGGGGTATAGTGATTATTGCAATAGCTTTGCAAGACACTGGTCTGAAGTCTAGCCTTTAAGTTGTGGCAGGATTTTGTTTCTTTTAGGCCCCTGTACAGCTTCGGAGGGGATCAACCCAGTCGTTCTGAACTGAGCAACTGACAATTTTCAGAACTGTGTGGGAACTGTCTAGAAAGAAGTTAACAAGAAACCTCACTTTATAAAATGTTACCTAGAAAATATGAATGATCACATGACACTTTATACCCTATCTTAGTTTCTGATACTGGATAACAGTTACCCTTTACCGTGAAAATAGATTTTAAAATATAAGAGCAAATTTATATCCTGTCATGCATGTAAGCAACCATACACAAATGCATTACAGTCAATGACAGTAGAAAAGTTAAAACAGGGAGTGTTAATTGTTTACATACATATACAGGAAAGAGAGAACAATAACAGATACCTCTCACAAATGTTACACATGCACTGTAGCCATTACAGACACTCAAGTTATTACAACTAGGAGGTTATTGAGTAGGTCAAAAGTAAAGGACCCTTTCCAGGCCTTCGTATTGGGCACATAGGGTTAGACATATATTAGATCAATTGGCACTCTGTGGGTGATATGGTCAGCATTACTCAGCCTGCCTTTACTTCTGACTCTATCTGGTTCCTATTCAATCAAGGCTGGGTTGACCTGGGAGCCACTGTCATTTCTGAAAAAAGTTCCGCCCCGTCAGGACCCAAACCCCAACCTTCCGATCTGCAGTCGAGCACCTACCTGCCACACTATGGCAGGAGGTTCTTTTTAAAAGTTAATTGCCAAGAGTTTCTTTTTTCTTCGGCTGCCAGTAAAACCAAATTGCTTTAAATAATATTTGTGTGTTGTCAGAAATACTCAAAATTTTTATTGTATTTTCAGTCGTTACCAGAAAAGCTGTTTACATTTCCAGGCCCAGCATTAGAGTAACTTCCCTTGCCATTCCTGCCTCCTTAGGTCACTGGACCTCTCGATGTTTCCAATTGATGTTTCCATTTGAAGAATTTCCATAAGAATTCTCAAGGATACTTTTTCTGCAGCCGCAATAGTTTTTTAAAACTTAACCCCAATAAATAACAACCATGGCCAAACTAGTAAAAGCACACATTACAAATGCTATGGCTGGCAAAACAACCACATGGTCAGAGAATCTCCCCCACGCTGAAGTTAAGTAATATAACAGATCCAATAACTGATCCAGTTAACTGCACTGTCAGATGTCCATTAACTGCAATAACTGATCAAGTTAAACAAGACAGAGAATCACAAGGTAAGATTACAAAACTTGGACAGGAATGGAAAGAAACAAAACAATACCCACACATTAACATGTCAAACCAGAAAGAGACAAAGATGCTGTTATTTTAGTGATTACAAGTGGTTATGTTTGTTCAGTAAACAAATACCTCTGGGCTTGGTTCGAGCTAAATGGCAGAGAATAAAATTAACCAGTTTACAAAGGAAATAATAAAACGGTTTAAAATGTAGTAAATTTTGGGTTGTCATGATCTGAAAACATACAAACAGGGATTTTGGTATCCCTTCTTCTTCTTCTTGTTTCTTGTAGTGTCAAAGTGAAGTATAAACTGGCATTGTGCCCGCTCTTGTGCTTTTTATACAGGGTTTCCCCAGGGGGATAACTCCCTCTGTCCATCATTAAATGGTTGGCCTATTTTGATTTTCTTTTGGTCTATACACTACCGTTGATTGTGGTTAGTAGCCAAGTTAGATGGCTGAACCATTTCATCTGTTTTCAGATTATATAGAAAACAGTTAATCACATAATTCTTGTTCATCCTTAAAAAGGCAGCTGAGACTTGCTGTGGTTGACAACTAAGCTGCAACATCTGCCTTTCAACAAGCCAATTTAGCAAACCCTTAGTGATCTGTTACAGCATGGTTGTTAGGAGGCAGTGAAATTATTTCTTTTCCTCAAAAATGGGGCCTCATCCATCCATCCATTTATGAAAAACAAAACAAAACAACCACTTTCAACTTACTACGAGCAGTATTGGTTACAACTGTGGTCTGGTTTCTTTGTGCCAATTATGTTGGCTAAGAAATGTTAACTGCACTAAAACTAGGTGGACTGGTACTCTAGTACCTGGCGATGGTTGCTGGGGAGGGGGCTGGTATGCACTATACACACCCACCATAAGATTTATCAGTCTTGACATATGGGTGACCATAAGATTTATCAGTCACAACATATGGGTGACCATAAGATTTATCAGTCACAACATATGGGTGACCATAAGATTTATCAGTCACGACATAAGGGTGACCATAAGATTTATCAGTCACGACATAAAGGTGACCATAAGATTTTTCAGTCTTGACATATGGGTGACCATAAGATTTGTCAGTCACGACATATGGGTGACCATAAGATTTATCAGTCACGACATAAGGGTGACCATAAGATTTATCAGTCACAACATATGGGTGACCATAAGATTTATCAGTCACAACATATGGGTGACCATAAGATTTATCAGTCATGACATATGGGTGACCATAAGATTTATCAGTCACAACATATGGGTGACCATAAGATTTATCAGTCACAACATATGGGTGACCATAAGATTTATCAGTCACAACATATGGGTGACCATAAGATTTATCAGTCACAACATATGGGTGACCATAAGATTTATCAGTCACAACATATGGGTGACCATAAGATTTATCAGTCACAACATATGGGTGACCATAAGATTTATCAGTCACAACATATGGGTGACCATAAGATTTATCAGTCACAACATATGGGTGACCATAAGATTTATCAGTCACAACATATGGGTGACCATACAATTTATCAGTCACAACATATGGGTGACCATAAGATTTATCAGTCACAACATATGGGTGACCATAAGATTTATCAGTCACAACATATGGGTGACCATAAGATTTATCAGTCACAACATATGGGTGACCATAAGATTTATCAGTCATGACATATGGGTGACCATAAGATTTATCAGTCACGACATATGGGTGACCATAAGATTTATCAGTCTTGACATATGGATGACCGATTTATCAGTCTCGATATAAGGGTGACCATAAGATTAAACATAATCTAGACATGTGGATAAACATAAGATAACTACTCCAGAATCAGGACAGGTGAAATCTCAAAGACATTTTTCCTCAGGTGATGACAGAAATACTAATAACCCAGACATGGGTGACTACAATTAATCATTTATCAACATGTTGGGTGACTAAAATTAATAATCTATCGACATGTTGGTGACTAAAATTAATAATTTATCAACATGTTGGTGACTAAAATTAAATAATCTATCGACATGTTGGGTGACTAAAATTAATCATCTATCGACATGTTGGTGACACCAAACAGTCATAATCTAGACATGTCGGTGACTAGACAACATTAATCATAATCTAGACATGTCAGTAACTAGACAATTTATTACAGGCTTGACATGTGGCTGACCATAATTACTAAGTGAACATTTAGAGATCAAATATTTCTACTTCCTAGATATATGCTTCAATGGAAGTGAACATTTAGAGATCAAATATTTCTACTTCCTTGATATATGCTTCAATGGAAGTGAACATTTAGAGATCAAATATTCCTACTTCCTAGATATATGCTCCAATGGAAGTGAACATTTAGAGATCAAATATTCCTACTTCCTAGATATATGCTCCAATGGAAGTGAACATTTAGAGATCAAATATTCCTACTTCCTAGATATATGCTTCAATGGAAGTGAACATTTAGAGATCAAATATTTCTACTTCCTAGATATATACTTCGAAGGAGGTGAACATTTAAAGATCAAATATTCCTTCTTCCTAGATATATATACTTCAGCTGTAGTGAACATTTAAAGATCAAATATTTCTACTTCCTAGATATATACTTCGAAGGAGGTGAACATTTAGAGATCAAATATTCCTTCTTCCTAGATATACACTTTAAAGGAGGTGAACATTTAGAGATCAAATATTCCTACTTCCTAGATATATGCTTCAATGGAAGTGAACATTTAGAGATCAAATATTCCTACTTCCTAGATATATGCTTCAATGGAAGTGAACATTTAGAGATCAAATATTTCTACTTCCTTGATATATGCTTCAATGGAAGTGAACATTTAGAGATCAAATATTTCTACTTCCTTGATATATGCTTCAATGGAAGTGAACATTTAGAGATCAAATATTCCTACTTCCTAGATATATGCTTCAATGGAAGTGAACATTTAGAGATCAAATATTTCTACTTCCTAGATATATACTTCGAAGGAGGTGAACATTTAAAGATCAAATATTCCTTCTTCCTAGATATATATACTTCAGCTGTAGTGAACATTTAGAGATCAAATATTTCTACTTCCTAGATATATACTTCGAAGGAGGTGAACATTTAAAGATCAAATATTCCTTCTTCCTAGATATATACTTCAAAGGAGGTGAACATTTAGAGATCAAATATTCCTACTTCCTAGATATATGCTTCAATGGAAGTGAACATTTAGAGATCAAATATTTCTACTTCCTAGATATATGCTTCAATGGAAGTGAACATTTAGAGATCAAATATTCCTACTTCCTAGATATATGCTCCAATAGAAGTGAACATTTAGAGATCAAATATTCCTACTTCCTAGATATATGCTTCAATGGAAGTGAACATTTAGAGATCAAATATTCCTACTTCCTAGATAGATGCTTAAATGGAAGTGAACATTTAGAGATCAAATATTCCTACTTCCTAGATATATATACTTCAGCTGTAGTGAACATTTAGAGATCAAATATTTCTACTTCCTAGATATATACTTCAAAGGAGGTGAACATTTAGAGATCAAATATTTCTTCTTCCTAGATATATATTTCAAAGGAGGTGAACATTTAGAGATCAGATCAAATATTCCTACTTCCTAGATATATACTTCAAAGGAAGTGAACATTTAGAGATCAAATATTCCTACTTCCTAGACATATATACTTCAAAGGAAGTGAACATGTAGAGATCAAATATTCCTACTTCCTAGATATATGTTTCAATGGAAGTGAACATTTAGGGATTGAATATTCCTACTTCCTAGATAGATGCTTAAACGGAAGTGAACATTTAGAGATCAAATATTCCTACTTCCTAGATATATGCTTCAATGGAAGTGAACATTTAGAGATCAAAAATTCCTACTTCCTAGATATATTCTTCAATTGAAGTGAACATTTAGAGATCAAATATTCCTACCTCCTAGATATATGCTTCAATGGAAGTGAACATTTAGAGATCAAAAATTCCTACTTCCTAGATATATACTTCAAAGGAAGTGAACATTTAGAAATCAAATATTCCTACTTCCTAGATATATATATTTCAAAGGAAGTGAACATGTAGAGATCAAATATTCCTACTTCCTAGATATATGCTTCAATGGAAGTGAACATTTAGGGATTGAATATTCCTACATCCTAGATAGATGCTTGAACGGAAGTGAACATTTAGAGATCAAATATTCCTACTTCCTAGATATATGCTTCAATGGGAGTGAACATTAAGAGATCAAATATTCCTACTTCCTAGATATATGCTTCAATGGAAGTGAACATTTAGAGATCAAATATTCCTACTTCCTAGATATATGCTTCAATGGAAGTGAACATTTAGAGATCAAATATTTCTACTTCCTAGATATATGCTTCAATGGAAGTGAACATTTAGAGATCAAATATTCCTACTTCCTAAATATATGCTTCAATGGAAGTGAACATTTAGAGATCAAATATTCCTACTTCCTAGATTAATGCTTCAATGGAAGTGAACATTTAGAGATTAATCATTCCTACTCACTTCCGAGAGATATGCTTCAACTTTCTAGACGAGCCTGGCCGTAGTCGATTTGCCTTGTGTGTTTCAATCTCATCTTTCATGTCTAGAATCCTCTGTTTGATGTCTGGTTCCTCACACAGATCTGTGTGCCAGAGACAAAAACAACTATTTTACATGCCTACAACTCTCAAACGAACATGGACAAAATGTAAAGGTGATCCATCAGTTCTCCCATCCAGGCTGCTACCTAACATGGACAAAATCTGAAGGTGTTTCATCAGTTCTCCCCTCCAGGCTGCTACCTAACATGGACAAAATCTGAAGGTGTTTCGTCAGTTCTCCCCTACAGACTGCTACTTAAATATTTACTTTACCATCTTGAGATGTGAACAATCTCAAATCTGGAAGGCAGACCAACCACTGCTGGCAGAAACCAGATACCACGCTCAACCTTTACAGTTATTAGGGGACCCATAACAGCTACATCAGCCAGGGTGTCACCTGCAGACCTGTGTGGGTAAGGACATGTGAGGGTAAGGACCTGTGTGGGTAAGGACATGTGAGGGTAAGGACCTGTGTGGGTAAGGACATGTGTGGGTAAGGACATGTGTGGGTAAGGACCTGTGTGGGTAAGGACCTGTGTGGGTAAGGACATGTGTGGGTAAGGACCTGTTTGGGTCAGGACCAGTGTGGGTAAGGACATGTGTGGTAAAGGACCTGTGTAAGGACCTGTGTGGTAAAGGACCTGTGTGAGTAAAGACATGTGTGGGTAAGGACCTGTTTGGATAAGTCCCTGTGAGGGTAAGGACCTGTGTGGATAAGGACCTGTGTGGGTAAGGACATGTGTGGGTAAGGACCTGTTTGGAGACAAAATCAGTCTACTAGTAACAAAAGTAACATTTCAATGCCTTGTCCTCCATTCTGATCTATCCTCTGTAATCCTTTCAATATCATGGATGGAATCCAGTCCAGTAACTATGGCCTTTCTCAACAATGTTGTCTTTGAGTTTCTCTCGGATGTCCTCCATTACTTTCATTCCCATTTCAGATCCTGCCTGGTAGTTCTCTTTCCATTTATCCTCATAATCTTGTTATCTTATAATTGATGATACTAGCAGTTGTCTTATTTCTTGATCTGTGTTGGATTGGTCTTATTTAATGTCCAAGTTGCTTAGACACTGAGTGTATTTAACTTCTAATGGATGTTTTTTATTGGTTATGCCAAGAGCCAAGTTATTAAATATGTTACATTAGTTTTTAGTATTGTTGACTATTTTTTGGTTCAGCTTTATCTAAAGAAAAAGAAATTTGGGGGGGGGGGGGGGGGGGGGGGGAGAGAGAACAACCCTTTTTATGAAAGTGGCATCTGGGGAATTAAATATGTTATCACAAGCGACGTCACCGCACACTGGGCATGCTTGCCCAGTCCTCCAAAGCATTAGCCACCACAGGATACTTGTGGCTGTGGACAGGACATTTTCCGCTCTGTAAAACACTTGCATTTATACCAAAGTCCCCAAGCGGGTCAACAACCAGAGCTTTACATTGCAGTTTCTTCTTCTTTCAATCAGATGTTTTCACATGTTGCACATATAAAATCTGGCCATTCTGATTCCCTTGATTTAAAACCTCAACAATGCCAGTGTATTAGTGAGGCACAGCGTATTAGTGAGGCCCCTACGGGAAGCAAAGAATGATGTAATCTGCCATGTATACCAGAAGAGCAAATTAAGGAAGGTTGAAATAAGACTGGCAACTTAATGATTTAGAAAACTTGTGCTGTAAAATCAGACTAACATGAACAAGTCTAAAATGGGCTTGGCGGAAAGCCTATGCTCCAATGGATTACAAAAGGCAGAGTTAACCTTACCAAATGGAGTTTCTCCGTTTTTGGTTTTCGAATCCAAGTCAGCACCATTCTGTACAAGTAACTCTAAAATGTCGAGCTGGAAGAGACAAATAGACGAGGTTAATATAACTGGCACCTTTAGCTAGTACAACAAGTGATACTTAACAGAAGAAACAATCGAACAGCCATCTAATTTAGCTGTCATTATACGGTACTGATAATATAACTGGCACAAGGAATGAATTATCACACTTTTAGCTAGTACAACAGTGACATTCAACAGAAGAAAGTCTTAACAGTCATCTAATTTAGCTGTCATTGTACGGTCCTGATAACTGGCACAAGGAATGAATTCTCACACTTTTAGCTAGTACAAGAGTGACATTCAACAGAAGAAACAGTCTAACAGTCATCTAATTCAGCTGTCATTGTACAATATAACTGGAATGTCTTTGCACTGGAACCAGTAAAGGCAATGAATTCCAAAGGTTCATTTAGACTAATTTGGTTCATATTTTCTTGGCTGCTGTAATCAGCAGTTAGATAATTTGCACAGATATGAGACTGAGCCATGCAGAATACTACCAGATGCAATTCTTTTGGGTGCTTCTTTCAGACCCAACAAACTCGAGACACAATGGTTGTTAACATTTGTCAGGTGGTGCCCTCTTGAATATAAGGCTCTCTCCCCTCCCCCCTCCAAAACTTTAAAAAAAAAAGGGTAACCCCAAGCACTATTAACAAAATCTTTTATACCATTAATTACATTATTTTCAGAAATGTACAACCTGCTCATAAAAACCAATATATACTTAGTTTTTGTATGTTTTATTAGTAGTTTAACAAAATATTTAATTTCTAATTAAATTGGGGGGGAAAACAACAGATTATTAAAAGTGCAAATACAATTTCAAAACACCTAGACGCCCCCTTGAAACTTCAAGTGAGAGGGAAAGGAGACCTCCAGGGTGAAACCCGCTGTTCTAGCATAAACTGAAACAGATGTTCCGTACCTGCCCCCAGTACGCAGCTGCATGCACTGGCTGCCACGATTCATTGTCCCTGGGGTCCACACTGACATGCTGGTCCATCAGAAACTCTGCCACTTCTGTATATCCATTAGCTGCAGCCACATGAAGCTGGCAAACAAATGAAAAAAATCTGTAGCAGGCACAACATTGACTCTAAACTATTACATGCAATTTCTAATGACGTAATTTTGTAGTTGTTAGTTTTGAAGCCCTGGATAAATCTCACACTGAGAAAACCGGAGAATAATATAACTAGAATGTCTTTGCACTGAAGCTCAGGGGCACAGGAATAAAGGAAGGCCAAAAAACATGGAAAAAGCAGCTGGAGAATGAAGTTAGAAAGATGGGGAGGACATGGGGAGAGGTGCATGTGATAGCAAAGGATATAACGACTTGGCGTGAGTTGGTTGAGGGCATATGCTCCATTGGGGGCTAGAAAGGCAGAAGAAGGAGAAGTTGAAGTCTAATTTCACTGCAGATAGGTCACTCTTAACAGCTTTGTTCCTGTGGCAGTGAAAATCGCCCAAAATGTCCACCAATCTCATCTGAAAACTAGTGATTAACCATATCAGTCCCCGTAAAATCTTGACATTTGCACATGCAAAGTAAATGCATAAGGTAGCTGTCAGGTGTGCCAACACTTACAGTCGCCCACAAGAATTGCAGTTCACTGCTATCGCAAGCCAATTACGAAAGCCACCATTGCACTTGCAATACTGCCATTCCAAACAATTGGCAGTCTGCAGGTCACATCACAAGTTGTCGCGGGCACAACAGAAAAATCACACTCCACATAAACTCCACATCTAAGTGTCGCCCCAAGCAACAGTGTATGAGGTGATGGAACACTTCAATTCTTGGTCCAGAAATGGGGAATGTGTATCAGCAAGCCATCCTCAGGCTGGAAGTAAATAACCTAAAGCTTTCTGCCATATTGGACCAGAAGTTGCACACAACTGTCTTCTGCTTCTCAACTGTACATTTAAATGTACTGCCAAAAAAAGACTTCGATCTTATCCAGTAGAATCTCACTGGGAAAAAAAAGACCTGCAATCTTGCACACATGTACAGACGCACGCGCACACATATACATACAAAACAGGCATGTTTAATCATATGTACCTATGTATTATGTATGCTCATATGTGTGTATGCATACACATACAAATTTACCATTTTCACTCTGAAACTGGACACTTTTCCAACCATCTAGGACATTTTGGAAAAAGTCCTAGATGGTTTGAAATTCATCCAGTTTGATTTGAAAAATCCTAGATGGTTTGAAAATAATCTGGTTTGATTTGAAAAGTGTCCAGTTTAAAGTGAAAATAGTATACATTTCACTGAATAGAGAAAAATAATGATACACTGTTAATAATTAAATGCACTTTTTTCAAACAATTTTTTCATCCTAAGTATTTGGTGGGGGGTGGGGGGGGGGGGGGGGGGTGTGATATCTTAAGTTACTCTTAGAAACAGTTTTGTTATAATTATTCATTATTGTTGGTAATTACTGCTCTATATTCCCAATGCTGTAATGTGGTGTGAATAAGGTCCTTTACTTTTCTTGGAAATTACTGAAGTTATATTTTTGTAATTACAATTTTTATAAACATCAAATTCTGCAGTTGTTGTGATGTCAAACACCTCCCCCGTGTTGGTTCTGGGGCCTTATTATAGGGGGTGGGGGGGAAGAAGAATAAACCCACTGCCTACCCAAAAGCATGTCGTAAGAGTCAACTAATTAGGGAGCTTCTTCAGAAGTCAAGAGTGCTTCTGCCTGGGAGGCAAGGAACCAGCAGTCTGCATACAAATGAATCATATCTGTAAAACGGATGCACATGCAATACTCAGGTTCTGGAACAGGACTGCAGTCAAGAAGTGGACGAACAACCAGAACTTTCCGTCAGAGTTTACAGCTGGTGAATGCAAAGAAGAAGAAGAAAAAGATAAACACCAAAATCCTGGTATTATTCATTAGAAACCTACCATGGTAGCACCAACAGCATCTCGGAACTCCAGATCACCACCACTTGATGCAAGCTCCTTCAAGTCCCTCAACATCTGTCTTTCAATGGTCAGTCTTGTCTCATCAATCTGCTCCTGAGTTATCCCTGAAGGATGATAATCAGTGGTGAAAATTATTATTGTTCCCGTACGAAAAGGAATCAGCTCAAGAGAGATGAAGAAATAAATGTCTTGGCAACCACTTGTATCAATAGTTATATGGCACTATACTGGATACACTGCCAGTTCTTCTTTTGAAACAGAATGCTGGAGAATGACCAATAAGGATGCACACAAGCTGTCCACCTTTCATCACACGTCTACGTAGAATTATAAATTTTTTCTGGCCAGATACAATCTCAAACACTAAACTACAAACCAAGAAACTCTTAGTATGATAACCAAGAGAAGATGGAAATAGCTTGGCCACGTTTTGAGAATGAATCCTGATATACCTGCCAAAACAGCTCTTACATGGATACCAGAGAAAGAAGGGACGTCCAAAAACAACATGGAGATGAACGATGGAAAGTTACCTGAGTGCATCATCTCTGACATGGAAAACTGCACTCTAAAGCCTCATGCGCCTTGGGGCATAAAGAGAATTGATGATTGATGATGATACTGGATACATTCTGAGAAGAAACAATCAGTGAATCACCAGACAGACACAGAAATAGGAAATAAAGGGACTGAGCAAACAAGGATGTGCCAGATAAAACACAGAAACAAATGCTTACAGAAGCCAAGAATGTTGGACTGGATTCTATTCTTGATATCAAAGGGATTGCACAGGAAAGAACAAGAATGTGAGCCCTATGTGACAAATAATGGCATCACAGGACAAAGAATGAATGTTCTTGTATCACCAGCAAAGTTGAACACTTCCATAGATTCAAACAGTTAATGATAAGTAGGAAGATTCCCCCTGTGCATTCCGGAGCTTCATTCATGGGAGAGAGAAAAAAACCCGACCCACTGCCTTCCTAACATGCATGTTGACTAATGAGGGACGTTCTTTAAAGTCAAAGTGCACATGCCTGCGAGGCGGGGAACTAACAGTCTGCACACTGATCAGCCAGATTTTGTTGTGTGTGGAACAAGACTAAAGTCTAGAAGTGGAAAAACAACCAGATTCCACGGGAGTGTACAGCCAGGGAGTACTAAGAAGTAGGAAATCTGATGTGTCTAATTTGGGCATGAAAAGATCTACAACAAGCATGTACAACACAGACTAGAGGTGGGCGTTGGTCACTTCTTTCTTGCCTGTCCTGCCTCATTTTCTATGCCAGTGTTAGCTCTGAAAAATTATTCCAATAAACTGATTAAAAAGCTTAATAAATGGGGAAAGGGAAAAAAACAAGCATAAAAGAAGCGTTTCGACCAGAGCCTTCCTCAACATGAACTTCACAACAGTAACAAACAGTGAAGCTCTCCTGCTTTGCAGGCGGACGCACCATGTGTGAGGATTGCACACCATCCAGATGGGTCTCATGTAATAGCCTTTTTGTCTCAGCTAATTCCAAAATACTCGTAGACCACGAGGGAGACCAAGAAGACGGAGAGATAATATCCAGACAGACCTGCAAACACTTGGTGTTACCAACTGGAAAGAGAAGGCCAACCAGAGAGATGAATGTAGGCAGGTGATATCTGCAGCAATGAACCTCAAGGGCTTGGAATGCTGAAGAAGAATAATTCCAAAATACTCGAGCAATTTCAGGTATGTCCTTAAATCTTTTTCCTGTCCACATGATGCTGCAGTTTGTCTTAAATTTCTTTGGCATACAGGTGAGGTGACCAACCCACAGGGTCTGACCTTTCTTCAGCATTGTGTGGATGCTCAGTAGGTTTGCCTTGAGAATCCTAATGGATAAAAGTGGCTTGGATTTAAGTGACAGAAATTATGGTAGAAAATGTGGTTATACGCAAACCTCTTTTTGCCATTTCCGATTCAATGTAGTCTAGAGTGGTGTCATCCTCACATATATCATACGGCATGTTGCCGTCTGCATTCACAGCTAACAGTTCGGCCCCCCTGAAACAACCATAATGATAATTTCAATGAGGTTTACATAAAGTTTCAAATATTGTGAACAGTGAGAAAGAATAAATTGAGGATAGAGGTGAAAAGAGTATTAACAGAAAAAAATATAAATGAAAGAGAAATGTAAGAATTAGCTTAAAGTGAGGAGAAGGAGAAAAGCTGGCTCAGCACAGAAAGGAATAAGAGAAAAGCTGGCTCAGCACAGAAAGGAATAAGAGAAAAGCTGGCTCAGCACAGAAAGGAATAAGAGAAAAGCTGGCTCAGCACAGAAAGGAATAAGAGAAAAGCTGGCTCAGCACAGAAAGGAATAAGAGAAAAGCTGGCTCAGCACAGAAAGGAATAAGAAAAGCTGGCTCAGAACAGAAAGGAATAAGAGAAAAGCTGGCTCAGCACAGAAAGGAATAAGAGAAAAGCTGGCTCAGCACAGAAAGGAATAAGAGAAAAGCTGGCTCAGCACAGAAAGGAATAAGAGAAAAGCTGGCTCAGCACAGAAAGGAATAAGAGAAAAGCTGGCTCAGCACAGAAAGGAATAAGAGAAAAGCTGGCTCAGCACAGAAAGGAATAAGAGAAAAGCTGGCTCAGCACAGAAAGGAATAAGAGAAAAGCTGGCTCAGCACAGAAAGGAATAAGAGAAAAGCTGGCTCAGCACAGAAAGGAATAAGAGAAAAGCTGGCTCAGCACAGAAAGGAATAAGAGAAAAGCTGGCTCAGCACAGAAAGGAATAAGAATTCACCGACTGTAAACTCTAGCAGAAAGTTAGTTCTGGAATATAGTTGGGCATCTATTTGGCAGATCTGGCTAATTGGTATGTAGATTGTTGATTCCTTGCCACTCATGCAGATAAATGCAGGCCGACTTCAAAGGAAACCCCTAAACAGCCGGCTTTTATGACATGCTTGTTGCGAGGGGTGAGGGGGGGGGGGGGGGGGGGGTAGTGAGTCTGTTCTTTGCCCCACCGCACACACACACACAAACACACACACACACACACACCAAAATGTAGCCTGGAAAACGGGGAGAATGGGAATTAGCTCCGAGTAGAGACAAGAGGTGGTAAATGGAGAGACCGAAACTGCAAGAATCAAAGTATATTCCATTATAAATAAGAGTGTGTGTTCACATGCGTATACATGATACGTGGTGTAACAGCTAGACACTCGCCTCAGGATCTGAAGGTTATGCGTTAAATCTGAATGAAGCTGGACTTTTGTAAAAAAAAAATGACCTTGGCTTCCAAGTGGACCTAGTCTTAAACGGGTACCAGGTAAAGTCCTAGGAAGTAAAGGCAGCTATCTTGATGTTAACCACATCACCCACATAAAGTGCCGACTGATCTAAAAAAATATAGGTTTCACCCTACATGCCCAAAACATCTGAATACGTGGAAAAACTTCCTGTTCTAAAACATAAAAATAAAAACCAAATTCAAAGCGATCAAGTCAAAAGCTGCAGCAAATTTCCGTTCTCCCCAATCACTCCTCAAGCCACACACGACCTGAACACTTGAACATTTTTTGTTTTCTGCCTTCCCCAAACACTGCCTGACAACATCACTGTTGACTTTGGCCAGGTGCAAACATATCTCATTCTGTTCATGTCTGCACAGATCATGCCTCTTATAACAGACTGCCAGATTTTTGTTACCTGTCTATGAGAAGTTTGCATAAGGTGGCATGACCACAGGTCGCAGCAGCATGAAGTGGCGTCCACATCTCACTGTCGCATGCATTAACATTGGCCCCAAATTCCAACAGAAGCTTAAGCATTTCTTCATTGTCGTCGATACAACACTACAAGAAAAGAAATTTGACAATTCAAATAGAGATGTCTCAGAAGAATAAATACAATTTAAACATTTCTCAATGGCGTTACATAGCAGACTGATTGAATAAATCTTGTGAAAATTACTATGAAACTGCATCCTATTCTGTTTATACATTTATGCCTCATTGTAGATGAGGCATTCAATCTACTTAGTACATGATGTTTCAACCACATAAATATTTAAAACATCTCCTGAACATGTCCCAACTACAGAAATATACTATATCCCCTGAACATGTCCCAACTACAGAAATATACAATATCCACCAAACATGTCCCAACTACAGAAATATACAATATCCACCGAACATGTCCCAACTACAGAAATATACAATTACCAATGAACATGTCCCAACTACAGAAATATACAATATCCACCGAACATGTCCCAACTACAGAAATATACAATTACCAATGAACATGTCCCAACTACAGAAATATACAATATCCACTGAACTTGTCCCAACTACAGAAATATACAATATCCACAGAATATGTCCCAACTACAGAAATATACAATTACCAATGAACATGTTCCAACTACAGAAATATATACAATATCCACCGAACATGTCCCAACTACAGAAATTTACAATAACCATTGAACATGTCCCAACTACAGAAATATACAATATCCACTGAACATGTGAAATGATTGAGTACACCAGATTTGAACCCAGTCCATTCCAAATGAGGCAATGGCTTATCAATGTAAGAATGTAGATGTTCAACTAGCTAAGCAGAACACAAATTTCTTCAGATAAGTAGGTGGGCCATTTAGAGATGTTTTTAAAATTAATTTGACTACAGATGATTTCTGTGTGGGTGTCAGGAAAACAAGAATAGACCCACTGCCTTTCCTAAAAGCATGGATAACTAACTGGGGACATCCTTCAAAGTCAGTGTACATCTGCCTGAGAGGCAAGGAATCAAGTCTGCATATAAATTGGCCAGATCAGAGAAACGGATGTGCATGCAACACTCACAGAACAGGACTAAAGTCTGGAAGTGGATGAAAACCCGAAACTGTCCAACGGAGTTTATAACCGGTGAAGGAGGAGCACAAGTAGAAACTACAGCAGCTTCTTTCAGCTGTCTAGTTCAGTGTCCAGCCCGTAGTCTGTGGACTACTACTGCAGAAGTGGCCTCATTGTCCGCTCAAAATTACCCAAAAATGTTTCACTCTCAGCAGTGTCAGTTATTAAAACCAGAGAAATCTGTTTTTGCAGTACAGTGAGATTATCAATAGCTAGATACTGGTCAGAACTCGCTTGACATTCGGCTGAGTTTTGGCTCGACTAGACTATTGTTATTCGTCTGCGGGTGGGTTATTGGCGGCCCGGGAGCACATCATTGTTGTAGAGCCAGTCACACCAGCCAGTTTTTTTAACGATTGTCTCGAGAACTGCGGAGAAAAGCACGCTTGGGTGTCCTTCTCAGGATACTCTAACAAGCCTTGCCAGACTCTGCAGGGACCGAGCAATCAATTGCCGCCCGACTTACCAGCCCCAGCCACACGAAACCATGGCCCGTGGTAAGAAGAATCCGGTCCAGCGCCGGGACACCAGAGCATCCTCAGCCAAAAAGGAGGAAGCACCTGTCGCCGCACCAGAACTGACGATGCCAGAACCGGTCGACGACCCGGAGGAGACACCAGCCTCACACACCCAGACGCCGCCAGCCCTGGATGTGGGCCCTATCGAGGCACCCGTCTACCTAGAAGCCGCCCCAGTCGTGGCGCAGGAACCGAGCAACACCCGCCCACTCAGGCAGCAGCAGCAACGACCGGGAGCCTACACCACAGAAGTTTTGCAGTGCTCTCGCTGCAACAAGGCGTGGCACTCTGCCTCGTCATGCCGCAGCAGCCCTTCGTGCCGTTACTGTTCCGGCCCTCACCTATTCAGGGAATGCCCTCTGGCAAAAGTGGACCCTGACTTTAAAAAGCCAAACGCAAGCAGAAGATGTTCCAACTGCTCCGGTGCACACAGCGCCAGGTACATGGGTTGCCCGTACCTGAAAGAAGTCAAGAGAGCGATGGCGAATACCACCACCAGGACCACACACAACCCAGAGCCGAAACAAAGATATCAGGCGCCCAGTCCGACAGCTGTGAACAACAACGACATTACGCAGCTGAGAGACGAAATCAAATCCCTGCGAGAAGAGAACGCAAGAATCGTGGCACTCAGGACTCAAGACAGGGACGAGATGATAGACCTGAGAAGCATCCTGCAGGCATCTCTCGAGACCCAAAGGAGACTCGAGGAGGAAAATACAGAAATGGCAAAGTTCAAAACAGAATTGATGGCAAATCTAACCGAGCTCAAGAAGTTAAAGGAAACAAATGCAGTAGCCGCCAAAGAACTGAAAGACAACCAGAAAAGTATACTTTCCGAGATAGCCACCATCAAGAAAGACCTGACAAAAACAAAAGCAGAGGTAACCGAGGCAAACAAAGAATGCGACAAACTCAGCTGTGTAATCGAAGCCACGCACAGAGTGATAGAAGCCAGAGAAAACGCGAAGAAAGAAAAAGACAGAAAAAGGCAGATCCACGACGCACACGTGAAACCCGGAGATCTAGAGAAGAAGTGCACACAAGACCTATACATCCTCAAGGAATGCCTGAAAGGCGACTTCGCAGCAATAAACAAGGAGGTGAAGCAACTCAAAGAGGCCACCCGGCATCTTCAACTCGAAAGCATAAGAAACAACAAAACGAAGATAGCAGCCCACTCAAACGGAAACGACGCCCACGTGAAGTAGCAAGTTGAAAGCCTACATGCAGCAACCAATGAAAACCTCACAAGCCGCCATGACAGCTGAACAACCACGCCCACCAGCCCTGAGAAACCTCACAGCCCACAACCAGATGACACATGTCCGCCGCCCAAGCCACGCCCACCTAACACACTCTGACAGAAGCAACTAACCTCAGGCAGAAATGTAAATCGCCACAACAGAAACGACTATAACTGGAGAACAAAACTCCAGACAACAAAACGCCGCTTCGATATAACCAACGCTCATTCTAGGAGCCGGTTGAAAGAAGCAAGAAGTTTTTCGTTTTTTTTACCAACACCAGTTACCAGTTTTTGCAGTACTTCATCAATCAGAAACTGCTTCATGTTCACTGACTAACTTCCCCATGGATAGCTTTAGTTGTTCATCCATTTCTGAACTTTGTCCCGTCATACACAACGATCCAGCCATGCATATTAAGAACCTAACCTCAAACCAGCAGCAAATGTCACACAATCTAGAAATGGTATTTTTATTATGTAGAATTTAACAAATAAGCTGCTATCTACACTTATTTTTGATTATAACTGTCAAGTGGTTAGCTGTCTGGTGGTTCGCTGTCCGGGGGTTAGCTGTCAGGTGGTTCGCTGTCTGGTGGTTCGCTGTCAGGTGGTTCGCTGTCTGGTGGTTAGCTGTCTGGTGGTTAGCTGTCTGGTGGTCCATGAAACAATCGAGCAGTTTATTGTATCCTGTTATCTACTTTGCTATAATCTTCTTTCTCTTTTTCTTCCATGTTCACTGGCTGTAAACTCCAGCAGAAAGTTCTGGTTGTTAGTCCATCTCTGGACCAGAGTATTGTTCCAAAACCTGTTTTGAGCACATCGATTTTACAGATTTTACTTATTTGTATGAAGACTTGTTTTCCTGCCTCTCAAGGGATACACTCTTGCATGCAAAGGAATCCCCTAACTAGCGGACTCTTATGACATGCTTGTTAGGGAGGCAGTGGGTCTATTCTTGATTTCCCTCCCACAGTGCGGTCCTGGAACCCACCTTGAGATTATTTATTGCGATTATCTATGAGTGTCAATCATCGGTGACATTTATCTTTCCAGGTGCACACTGTATTACACAGCAGAATGGAAATAGTTGAAGGCTAGGGATGAACTAGCTAGAGACTGCAAACTGCACTTCCCGTGACAGCTACTGGCAAATGTGGAAACTGAAGACGGCTGTGACCTGTAACAGTTTTTATCTTCCTTCAAGACACAATTTGTTTGTAGAAAGTGTCAGCCATTCAGTAACGTCAAAGACAGCAAGGTAACTTCAGACTCAAGACCACTCCACAACAGACTTTATCCTCTGGGTGAAGGTCTGACATCAGAGCATTCACAGCAAGTCCATAATGGTTCTGCCTTCCTTCTTCTTTAATTTATGTTCTCTGGTGGACAGTTTTAGTTGTTCATCCACCTCTGAACTTTAGTCTCACTCCAGAACCTGAGTTTCATACACAACTATTTTGTATATCTGACTTATTTGTCAGCAAATTGTTGGTTCCTTGCCTCTCAGGCAGATGGACTCCGACTTCAAAGGAATCCTTTAATTAGTCGACTCCTAGGACGACGAGCTTGTTGGGGAGCCACTAGGTCTTGTCTTGTTTTCTCCACAATGGGACCCCCAGAACCCACATGGGAAAATTCTTAATTTAACTTCAGGATTCTGACAAATCTCTCTCTCTCTCTCTGTCTCTATCTCTCTGTCTTTGTCTCTCTCTCTCTCCTTTGTCTCTCTCTCTCTCCTCTGTCTCTCCTTTGTCTCTCTCTCTCCCCTGTCTCTCCTCTGTCTCTCTCCTCTGTCTCTCTCCTCTGTCTCTCTCCTCTGTATCTCTTTCTTTCTCCTCTGTCTCTCTCTTTCTCCTCTGTCTCTCTCTCTCTCTTTGTCTCTCTCTCTCTTTGTCTCTCTCTCTCTCTCTGTCTCTCTCTCTGTGTCTCTCTCTCTCTTTGTCTCTCTCTCTCCATCTCTCTCTTTGTCTCTCTCTCTCTCTCTGTCTCTCTCTTTGTCTCTCTCTCTCTCTCTGTCTCTCTCTTTGTGTCTCTCTCTCTCTCAGTGCGTGCATGCATGTGTGTTAGTATTAGGATGTGGCCATGCATATTAGTTCATTAGCTTCAGCAGCGAGAGACCCTCACATGGAAATGACAGGTTCGATTCCCGCCATGATAACAATCTTTTTGACGTCTGGTATACCCTCTTATCTTTCCACTTCTTTCTATGAGCGCCAATCAGTTCTTGCATATTTGTATATTATATATATGAGAAGTGATAGAACATAGTTACCTGGTGTAATGCTGTCAGTCCATCCTCATTTGTGACATCTGGGCTCACACTGCTGTTTAGTAACCGACGAACTGAAACCAACACAAAAAAATTTGCATATCTGAAAACCAATGTCTCAGTAATCTCAACACACACACACACACAAAATATGTCAACATGACATAATATTTCAAAGTAACCAGGGTAAACAAATACAGGGCTCAGGTTGCTATGGTTTCTGACACTTCCTGAATAGGCCCCTGAATTCTGATTTTTGTATGTGTGTCCACTGGCTTTCGTAACCTGTATTTACAAATATATTGAGAAAAGAGGCTGCAAAAGAGAGAGAGAAAGCGAGAGAGGGAGAGAGAGAGAGAGAGAGAGAGAGACAGAGAGAGAGAGAGAGAGAGAGAGAGAGAGAGAGAGGGCTGCTAATGAGATAAAGGAGCTGGCTAATTAAAAAAAGGAATTGGCTACTTGGAAAAAAAAGAAATGGCTCAAAATTTGACCATTCCCACAAGAGACATTCCGGATGACAACAGTGAAAGTCCTACAAACCCTGTTCCACATACTACGAAATTAGAATATGGGCACTCATATTATACTGAAGACATCAATAACAGGCCAAGCAAATGTTACAGTGGAGACTAAGAATTCAAGTTACAGACAAGTTCACAAAATAAATTACTAAATGAACTTGCAAGGTATCAGCAGAATTTAAAAGCAAAATATGGAGTTCTACACTATTGGTTTAGGTTTACTATAGGTATAGGTTTACTTTAGGTTTAGATGACGGATAAACATCATGGCACAAGGTTAGTAACCCCTAAGTCTAAGTCTGAAGAATCTCAGCGCAGTGCACAAACTCTGTAGCACCGGCGAAGATACTGAAATACTTTGCGTTGATTTTAACTCCAAATTTGCCAGGGCAGCGCCGTTAGGCTAATCTTTTCGATTTTCAACTGCGGGGAATTTTTTACGTGTGCAACAATACACACGGGTGTTCAATCTCACTACCCAGAAGTCTATGTGAAAAAAATCCCAGCCTTCACCGGTACTTGAACCTGGGACCTCCAGCACTTGAGGCAGACGCCATGCTTCGAGACCATGCAGCCCTCAAAAACTATCATTTGAGAACCAAGTTAGATATTTTTTATTCCAAATTTATTCAAATTTTGGCATTTGTTAATGAAAGTTGGAGAGCCCAAAAAGACATGGAACTCAAGTTCAATGCGCTGGAAAACAAATGACGGTTAAATGCTGAACATACAATGGGACAAATTCAACAGGGGAGAAGAAATTCGAGAAATATATGGGCAACCACTGGTATCAACATTTCTAAGATAGCGAAGATGTCAATATACTGGACACATCCCAAAAAGAAACAAGCAAAGTATCAATTAACAGGCACTGAAATCAGAAACAAGGACATTCAAGAGAAACCCTTAGACGAATGTCAACCAGAGAAGCCAAAGCTAATGGACTAGATTCCATCCATGATATCAAAATGATTGCACAGGATCAGAAGGGAGTGGAGGAAACGACTGAGTTCTCTGTGACACAAAATGACATTAAATGAACGAGTCAACAATAGCTACACTAAGTATGACACTATTCTGCTCTTCAAATCGGGTATGGACAGAAATGAAGACATATAAAACAGACACACTGCCACCTTCCAAGCATGTCGTATAAGGGGTGATTCCTTTGAAGCCAGAGTGCATCTGCCTAAGAGGCAAGGAACCAACAGTCTGCATACAAATAGGGCAGATTAATAAATCGGATGTGAGCACCAAACTCACATTCTGGAATAAGAGAAGTCCAAAAGGTCAGAACTTTTGACAATTAGCTTTAAATAAATAATTTACTGTTAAAGAAAAGAGGGAAGAAAAAGAACCGCATAGTTATCCGATAACATATTTTTATTAGTAGAGTGGAAAGCCGCTGACACAAGTTATAAAGAACAATCTTCCCGATTTCCTGTGTCTGTTCAGGAACTCAGTTGCGCGGGGGGGGGGGGGGGGGGGGGTGGGAACAGATGCACTACCCCCTCTCACTCCCAACGAGCATGTGTAAACGATAACTAATTAAGGGTTTTTCTTTCAAAGAACGAAGTGCATCTGTCAGAGAGGCAGGGAACCAATAGCCTGCACACAAATAAGCCAGATCTGTAAAAATAGGTGTGCTCACAAAACTCAAGGTTTTAGATCAATACTAAGGTCCATAAGTGGACGAGCAACCAGAATTTTCCGCCGAAATTTACAGCCGATGAACACGAAGAAGAAGACTTCGAGATGATTCACAACTACTTACATCCAAACCTATTCAGAGATGCATGTATATGCATGTTTCTGGATTTGGCCGAGATTAATCATTCATTAATTTTCGAACTGGCCATAGGCTGTAAGTCTCATGCATCCTCAAAACAACACTATCGTCTGGAAAGGTGTCAACAGCGAACGGCATTTCGTGCGATTTTTCCTGGCAACGGAATGACACAATAATCGGGTGGCCTGTTTTCCGTGAAGCAGATACCCCGACTATTGTCTAAAAACCTATTCACATATCTGACAGTAGTTAGTGCCGGAGTCGCCGGCTAGTGAGCTGTCCTTAGCCCCAAGGTCGTCATGTGTGTCGCGTGGAGCGACTTCTCACAATAACAAGTGTGGACCGAGGACAGGTGGTCACGGTACACTTGAGTATTTCGTGCGGCGTTGCCATTCCCGGGTTGTTTTCCCCCGTTCCAATCTAGCTTTACAGATTCCACCCCCCCCCTCCCCTCCAAAAGTTTCTTGAAGATCGCGGCCGCTTTTTAAACGGTATTACGGCAGGGCATCATTCATTGGTGAGCGCCGTAATCAACCCGAGCAGATCAGGAATAAGGTTCTCAGAGAAAAAGTCGGCACAGAACCAATTCTGAATTACATACAAAGACAAGCAAATCAAATGGGCTGCACACAAAAAGAATGCGCTGTGACATCATTCTATAGAAGAATACATGTAAAGAGGTGTAAGGCCAGAAGATCACGAGGCGGACCCCCCCCCCCCCCCACCCCCCCCCCCAATCGAAAGAGAAACTCTACAACAGTAGTCTATGTTTGCGGCGGCCTGAAGAGTGAGAATCAAAACCGTATATTTCCCCCGACACCCAAAGTAGTAGAAGAGAAATCGAAGAAGACTAATAAAAGATTCGTACATAACACACTGCCCCGCCCTAGACTAATACATCCTTCTCTCCATCCATCTGTCCAGAAGAGCAAGAAGCAGAAGCTTATATTTCCCCCGACACCCAAAGCAATAACACAGGAATGAAGAACAACAATGTATTACTTTTATTTTGCATTCGCCCTTAAAAGGGTGATAGGAACGTTATGCTGTAGCTGACAGCTAAGCTGCGATATCTGCATCTTTAGGCTAAACACAACCAATCCAAGTAAACCCTTAGTTAGTCGCCGTTTGGAACACGCTATTAGGAGTCGATAGGTCGAATGCCGACCACCTTTACTTCCCAGGTACCTGGTTTCCTTCATTCTAGGATGTCGACCTGGGAGCACTTGAAGTGCCAGCCATGGTCACTCACAACCATAAACAACAAATTAGTAACCATGAAAATGAGATGTCTGAGAACGGTTAGAGGAGTGACCGGAAGAGATATAACCAGAAATGAGGTCATAAGAGGAAAAAGTCAGATCAGAAACAATTCTCAATTACACACAAAAAAAAAGGGCAAGTTAAATAGTCTGCGGACTTGGAGAAAATGCCGTGTAACGTAATACCATATAAGGTATACATGATAAGAGGAGATGGTCGCAAATCACGAGGTAGACAACGAACAATGTGGAAAGATAAGGTGAGAGAAACTCTACAACAGCACAATGTGTCTGTGGTCAAGGCGGTTTGGAGAGCAAGAAGCAGAACGTTACATCTCACTCGACACTTGTGGCGGTAAAAGAGAAAGTGAAGCAGAAGAAGACCTTAGAGCAAAGGTCAATTTGGCAACAACAACAAAAATCCGCCTACAAATTCAACATCTTCAGGTCGGAAGGCGAGCACAATTCGGGGGATATAATGTTCTGATTCCAGACCTGCACGACAACTGAACATTGCGGCTACAAAGCCTTTATCAGCATACGACACAAGCCAACACATAAGCAACTGCAAATATGAAATACAAGTTACATTACAAACACACACATAACAGACGAAACAGATGAGCACAAACAGATAATAACTGTTTTGAGAGGGCTTGTACTGGGAGACTCCATATATTTTTGTATTGGAATGAAGGGCACCTTTCAACACCAGTCTTGCTCTGAGATGCACTCCCTTTTTCGTGGTTCAAACTACCTGAGAATCAGCCAGGGTTGCCATATTGGCATTTTTTATGCCAGATTCCACAAATTTGGCATATTTAAAATTGAACTGGCATCAGATAATGAACTGGCATATTTTGGCATATTTGGGTTTTTCCTGGCTTTTCTTATCAAGATGTGCTCACATTTGCTTCATTGTTCCTCCGTTAGAAACACAGATTTGCTAAAAGCAATTTAGATCTACAGTTAACATCTTTATTTCAGTTTTTTGACTTTGTTGTGATGTCCTGGTACGGACTAAAAGAGATTCGTGCCATTTCTTATTGTATTTGTTCTCCTAAACGGATCATGACTTCGATAAACCCAGGCCCTCTGTAATTTATGTTAACCTACTAGAATAAATGCGGGATATAAAACCAAAACCCACCACTGATACCAAGTGATTCAGACTGTTCTGAAACTACTTGAGGACAGAAAATAGAGAGGATATAAGCCTAGTTCTGTCTGTGATAGATTTTATTACTTTTTCCAATGGCCACGTCATCCAAAAAAAAAATGGAAAGCATCTTAAGACATCGAAAGTATAATAGTAACTGGAACAAAACATAACCACGGCTCAGAAGATCTTCAGACGGATCAGAGGCAGCCTATTGTAAACTGTGTCAGTGCACTGTTGCACCAAGAATTAGAAGCATATCAAATCATGAAAAATCCGAAAAACACAGGATGAAAACTCCGTCAAAAAGCCAGTCCCAGCTTATTACAACAATGACTCCTAG